GAAAGATTTAAAAATCAAATACGAAAGACAGGCAGCAAAGCTACACCTGCCCACAGTCCCTCTCTCCCTTGGGTGGTCCAGTCGTGATGAACACGTTCACAGCCCTCTCTGGGAGCAAGGGAAGGCCGTTAGGACTCCCCCCAAAACCTTCACACCCCACCATCGCAAGACAGGCACGTCACCACCTGGCAGCACAGCCTCTGGTCTTCGTAGACGGACAAAGGGAGAGACAGATGGAATGAAAATGTAGTTTTGCTGTTTCACAACACCCTGTGCCATCCTCTCCACTTAGCAGCAGGTCACAAGCACCTTCGCAGAAGGACAGACAGGCAGGTGTGTCACCTGATGACCCATCTGGCCCCTAACCATCCCCAGCTGCTGGGCATGTAGGGTATTCCCAGTGTTTCGTCAGGACAAGTCCCGCTTGCACCCGGGGAGGGAGTGCCCGTCTTCTGCTCCCAGCAGCACCCAGCGCCTGTCACAGGGCTCGAGCAGAGGGGGCTCCGGCAGGTCTGCTGGAGGAGTGATCCAGGGCGCCGGCCTCCCAGCTCTGCCTCTCCAGCCCTCGCTGTCCCCACGGAGTCCTGGTCCTCTGCCTGCCACCATACTCAGGTTCCCCAGGGCCGTGCCAATAGCCCGCCCTGGGCTCTCCCCAGCTGGCCGCCCGGCAGTGGTGACAGGGAGCACCCTTCCGCCATGCAGCAGCGTCTGCCTCCGGGCCGGTGCCACCTGCCTGCTGTCCTGCAGGATTCGCAGGAGCAGGTGACCTGGCCCACGTCTGTGCCTCCATCATCCCTCCACAGGGAGGCCCTCACCCTCACAGCCACTCAGTCCGCCCTGCGCTCCTGCGTGTGGCACCCTCCTGGGACAGACCCGCAGGGAGTGGCGATGGTCGGTGCTGGCCATAGGGGGCAGGCCTCAGCGCCCCCACCAAGAAGCCCCAAGGAGGGAGAAGCTGTGTCTGTGAAGCAAACAGCCCCCACCACCCCCGTCTTCCCTCTAGGTGGCTGCCCCTCCAGCATCGCCCCAAAGCTCCTGGAGCTGCGATGTCACAGACACACGGCCCCACAAGACACACGGCCCCACAGCCAGGGTGTGCTGAGCGCTGGGTAAGGACGGGGCAGCGAGCGAGCACACCCAGGACCCCCACCCGACCTCGGGAGCCAGATGAGGGCTCTCAGAGGAAGTGAAGCCCCAGCTGAGCCCTGAAGAATGACGGGGGCTTCCCGGGGGAAAAGGATTCTGGGAAGAGGGCCAGGCCCTACCTGTTTGTTGGCCCAGGGAGTCTGAGGAACAGAGGGATCAGAGACCTAGGGGGAGGGAAGGGAGCCTGGAACTGGAGCGCTGGCAGGGCCCAGGGGGTCCTGGGAGTCCCTGCAGCACAGGCCCCCCACCCCCAGGGTTTGGGTCGTAGTAGCCCTGCAGGCCCCGCCATCAGCCAGGTCCGAGTATCCACCCAGCAGAGCTCCGCTAAGGGCACCAGCTGAGCGCAGCATCTTCCCAAGGCCTGCTCCTTCCCCTGGGGTCCTCCCAGGCACAGAGGGGGGTCCCCAGGGCCACTGAGAACTCCTCCTCAGCACCAAATCCTACCTGGACCCCCCCTTCCCAGCCTAGGGGCCTCCTCTGCCCTGCCTAGGGCCCTCACCCTGTTACCTGGGCCAACACTCCAGCCCCATCACCTGCACCTAGGTTCTGATGCAGCACCCAAACAGCTGCCCTGAGTTTCCTAAATCCCAAGCCAGGTGCACCCCCCCACACACACACACACACTCACACTCACACCCAGAGGCTCCGGTTAAACACCTTCCCTGGTCCCGATCCGACATTTCGGCGCCTGCTGCGTGCATCTCTGCTGCCCCAGGGACACGGCAGCAAGTGGTCCCCGCCCTCCTGTGGCTTCCAGCGAAGGCGGACGTTAACCGCTCACACCCTGCAGGTAGTGAGAGGCAGTTGTGTTGCGTTGCGTGTCCAGGGCCTGCACGGTGCTGGGACGCTTCCGCAGGCCAGCCCCCACCCCCCTTCCTCCCACCTCTGCTCACAGCAGAACACCCTTCCCCGGTGCCCACCATTCGAGGCCCTGCTCCAATGCCGCCGCCTCCACGGTGCCCTCCCAGCTCCCGAGTCCCCCTCCCCCCACAGCTGGCCCACACAGGCGGGGAGGCTTGCAGGCAGGATTCCCACCTTTCAGCCGTGCCCCCCAGATGCCTGTGTGCACCATGCGCTGTGTCTGTTGGATTCCCCGACTTGGGTGAAAGTGTTGGGCACACCAAGCCCTCACCTTTGCCATCTGCCAACCCCAACTCCTTCCTGCAGGGTTTTTCCTCTGGGAAGAGGCCTCTGCGCTCACCTCCTATGAGCACGGTGACCTGGGCCCGAGAGCCAGGAAGGAACACAGCTGGGGTTCACCCTGTTCCCCAGGGGTGACCACAGCAGCACAGCCACCCCTGGCCAAGCAGAGCGTGGGCAGGAGGTGCAACCCCCCCGCGTCCCACTGCCCAGCTCCTCGGGAGTCTTCCCACCCTGAAGCCCTTGCCTACATCCCGAGAGTCCACTGCCCCTCAGACTACTCCACACCCCTCTCCG